CTGGAATAGCAGGTAATAAGGTGAAAGGCTGGACGTAGGGAAAGTCAGCTGTGTACAGGGGGCACAGGATGGAGTCACTCTTCCATGAAATCCAATAAAACCTGATCTGGTCGTGATTAACTCAACATTTTCAAAATCCTTTTAAGAGTTCAGAAAGAACATAATGTCTAGCCAGCTCATAGTGGTATACGAGACACCCCTGACTCTAATATCCCAGGATGGGAGCCCTCTGCTTGTTTCAGATTTTGATGCTGAACACTGCTTTGCGTCTCAGTTCTGGCTTATTTATTTAGCATTCATATTGCCTTATCTCATTTATAGCAAGCCCTTGAACATAAGTGAGGAAAAGCACATTATACAGAAACTTCACCTGTTTGAGCAGTCTGAGCAAGGTTTGCATTAAACCCACCAACTGATACATGTAATTAGTGGCAGAACTTCTTCTTCTGCCCAGAACCTGTGAAACTGGTCAACAAAGAGAATGGAGAAGTGTGAAAAGCAGCTTTGATGGGGCTCAGCCATGCTCAAACATCCCCTCAAAACAGGAAGGATATCAGCACCCCTCAATACCCAAGCAGTGTCTCCTGTACCTGCTCTGTGTCAGACTCCAGAGTCAGTCCAGTTTGTTTCTTCACCCCCTTGCATGAGGGCTCCCTGGGCTGGGAGATGGAATCCACGTTGCCCTCTTGCTCCCAAGGGTGAGTGCAAAGTGAACCTCAGGGAAACGGGATCAGTGAAGGATTTTATTGGATCTGGACTCCCTCTGACAGGCCTTCATAAATTTGTCTTTTAAAAAAGAGGCCCCTTTGCCATTACATGTATTTTATGGGGAAGCAGATGAATGGCTAACAGTGATTGCTACAAGAAGAGAAATACCAGGATTTGGGATAGATTTACCTGAGACTTGCAATCCCAACTGAGACCTGCTATCTCAACGCACTTGTCTTGCTTCTATAACCCACTGTAAGAACACTATGTAGTAAATACACTAACGTTTGGCTTACTGATATTGAGTTAATCAATGTACACAGCAAAATACTTTCAAAAAATCAGTTTGAAATACTGTTGGAAATGCTTGTATGAACCTTACGAGCCGCTGTGCACGTTACAGAGTGCCTGAACTATTTTTGCACTTCATGTCTGTACATCAAATAGCTGCTGGGCTCCTTATCTACAAACAGTATGAAAATAACAGCAAAAAAAGAATTGAGTTGCATAGTCTCCTCTGCTTCCCTTCTTTATCTCAGGTGGTAATTTGACTAGAGTGGTAGCAGCTTAGTAGTAACACACACACACACACACACACACACACACACACACACACACGTAGCGTTAAGGTCTCTCTGTTGTTTTTGCCTGAGAGGCAAAGCCAGAGTGTCACTCATGCCTATCTACCATGTTCTGACTAAGGAGGGGAAAACATTCCCTTTCTTGAATAACTGGATGTGTGACCTAGGTGTGGAGACAGGAGGTAAGAACAACTGCAACTCCTTTATGGAACACGGGGGTCAGGATGGGCCAAACTGAACACGTAGTGAAGACTTCTGTAATCTTAATGCAGTAGTTCAGGTGCATATTATAATGCCCAAAAGGACATCTCAGAGCAGCCATGCCATCCATCAGTTCCACTGATTGAAAACGGTCTCCTGAGGTTCATTCTGATTGAACCTATTCCAGCCTGTTCTTTATTGTAAATACAGCTTTGTGTCTGTACTTTTGGGGTTTTTTTCCTCTCTCTCTCTCTCCTCTTCTTTTTTTTTTTTTAATTTAGAAACCTGCCTACATTCATGTCTCACTGTTTGTTGGAAACAGATGGCCCTTCCTGAAGACACACAGTTGAGTGAACAGACACCGACCACTTTACCATGTGGTAGCATGTTTGTAATTAGATATTTAAAGTGCTAGACAATTACTATCGAACCTTGTCATGAGGGAAATTTAGGTCTGTGTTTACCAAGATCTGAATTATAAACTGGATCCCTGCCAGGGCTTTTACTCTTGGGTATAAAATGAGAGAAGACTCCGGTTGAATACTGAACGACATTGATTAAAGCTGCCACCTGCCCTGTCTCAGACATGACCACTCACTCCTGTCTCCCATCCTGTCCCTCGGTTTTTGTTGACCACTCTATATGGTTTGCCCATGTGCTGAGTTTTGGGATGCAACCAGCTGATCATAGGATGTGCCACCTCTGTAGGACCTCTAGTTTAGGCTCAGCTTTCCACCTGTTTTTGGACTACAGACAGGTAAAAGCAGCTCTGCCCCAAGAGAAGTATCAGCCATTGTCACAATGGGGAAAAAAAAGCTGATAAAGTTTGAGAAGAGAATGGAAAGTGATAAATCAAGGGAGAAATTACAGGGGAGCATTGCAGAAAAAGAGAAAGAAGCTCTAAGAGTTATCTAATCTGTAAGATAATTTAATTACTGCAAAGTTTTGCCCTAGATGGAAATATCCAGCCTATGGAAGCTGGGAGCAGCAGCACTGGCTGCTGGAGGAGTGTGGCTCTGCCTCTTTCATGTGCCTCCCCCATCACTGCAGCCACGGCTGTAACTAAACTGTTGCAATCAAGAAATATCAGCTCCAGAAACAAAAAGTTCCCTCTGGTTTCACCCTCCTTGAAGCAGAGATAGTGCAGGAGGCTGGAGGAAAATATTGAGGCTTAACTGCGGGAAACATTATTGTTTCAAAACCCTGGAAATGGTTGAACTCGTAGGTAAAGGAAAACCAGTTTTACATCAAAATCTCACACCTGAGCTGCTCTGCTCCAGCAGAATCCTTAGACAGGATAGTTGTGAAAGGTAAAATTATATAATGACTTCACTTTTCTAAAACACAAAATTGTTAATTCTAAGTTTGTACAAGGATTTAGCAATGAAATGCTTCAGGGATAACTTGTTTTCAGTGGGGAACTATGCATACAAATGGATGGAGCCAAATCCCTGCAAAGGACATGGACAGGATCATGGAAGCAGATGAACTACAATTTCCCATGCACTAGAATTCACAATAAGGCCAGAAGCAAAATGAGCACAACCAGAAAGTATTTTAAGAGCCAGGACTGAGTGATGGGAGAAAGCTGTGTACTTTCCTTGTGTACCTGTAATCGCTTCTGAGATCTTTCTGAAGAGAGGTATGTGTTGATCTTTCTGAGAAATAGAACACTAATTTAAATATTCATTGTATAATCAAGGTAAGGAATCTTGGAATACTATTTGAAAAAAGCACTATAGGGTTGTACAGAGTGCAAAAGACGAGAGGACAGTGATGAAGACCAGAAGCAAAACCTGCTAATGCTGTTTGAAATAAAAGTGGGTTTAATTTTAAGGATAAAATTTGACAGCCTAGAAATTATCAAGCCAAAGTAAGCATTTCCCAGGAACACAATTTCGGCTTGGACTCCACACTGCAATGTTAGCTCAGGTATCTATTGCAGCATATCCTCTTGTAATTCAGCAAAATCTCACAGGGTAAAGAGGTAAATTCACCTGAAACACTTGTGGGTCAAAGGAAGGGTGAGTGAAACACAACTCCATGTGCAAACACAGAGGAACAGGTTGCAGAAGGCTGGAACAACAGATGGTTGTTAAAGGGATGAGAAGAGCTTCGCTAACAGTTACCACGAATCAGAAATACCTTGTACCCCGGTAATGTTGGGCCTGTGGGCAACAGTAAAACCGGGGTTTGGTTTCTCATGACGTGAAGGATTATGCACCCACACAAAGCAGCCTCTGCCCCGACAAGTGCACGGTGCAATTGTTGTCCAAACACATCCCACTTCCTCGCCACGGCTGACTCAGAGCTGCTTCTGAGAAACTCCCAGAGGAACATTTTCTTGTGGAGTAAGAAGCAGACGTGGATGATTTTTTCCTGGCCTCCATTTTGAGGGGCGAGGGAAGGGCGGCATCCCTCTGGGTACCCGCATAACGGGGGGATGGAGGTGAGGTGTTTTTCCAGGGGATCCGCCTGGCAGCGGCCGGCGGAGGGAAGCAGGGAGCAGGCAAGCAGAGGGCAGTGTAAGCACATGGACGCAGCGCCGGGAATACCCGAGAAAGGAACACGAGCACTGGGAGCTGCACAGGGCGGTGGGGGGTGGTGGTTCCTGGCGGTCATTCCCGGGGGTCATTCCCGGTCCCTCCGCACCGGGCCTGGCTGTGAAAGGCAGATTTACATCACGCCTTCGTTCAAAAAAAAAAAAAAACCTCAACAGAATTAACTCTAAGTTTGGGTAAGGGTTTAGCAATGAGATGCTTCAGGGATGATAACTTGTTTTCTCAATGGGGAGTTCTGCGTGCAAAAAAACTGATTATACAGGATGGAGCCAAACCCCTTGCCAAGGGTATTGACAAGGATCATGGAAGCAGATGAACCATAATTTCCCATTGCATGCACTAGAATTCGCAGTTCAAGGCCAGGAGCAAAACGAGCACAAGCAGAGAGTGTTCCACGAGCCAGGAGGAAAAGAAGAAGAATTAGGAGAAGGAGGAGGAAGAAGATGAGGAAGAAGAATTGGAAGAGGAGGATGAAGAAGGAGGAGGAAGATGAGGGCTGGGAAGAGCAGGAGGATGCTCGTACCCCCTACGGCTCCATCCGGGCACGGGATGACGTCATCGCCCCAGCACCCTGTGCCCCTCCGCACGCGCCCGGTCCAGCCAATGAGAGCGGGGCGCGCCGCCGCAAAGCCTCCTGGGGGCTGTAGTCCCGCCCCGCCCCGCCCCGCAGCTGCGCGTCCTCGCCGCGACCGGGGCAGCGCCCCGCCCCCCGCCCCCTTTGTGGGCGGGGCCAGACGGCCCCACCGGCCAATGGCGAGGCGGGTCAGGGTTCGGCGGGCGGGCGGCGCGGCCAATGGGCGCGGGCGGGCGGTGGAGGGGGCGTGGCCGGCGGTGTTTTGTTCGGTTGCCATTGAGCCGCCCGGGCCATAACGCGCGGGGGAGGCGGCGCGGCCGCGCAGGTACCGCCGGTGCCGCGGGGAGGGCGAGTATGGGGCACGGGGCGGGGGGGGCAGTTCGGCGAGCGCGGCCGGTGGGTGCCGACAGCCGCCCGGGTGACGGGTAACAGCCCTGTCGGCAACAGCCGGACGGGTAACAGGTAACAATTAACAGGTAACAGCCCCGCAGGTACCAGCCAGCCAGGCGGCAGTGCCGGGCGGAGGGGAGGCGGCCCAGCCGACCCCGAACCCGCTCGCAGAGCCCCCTTGGGCACCGCGCAGCTCCGGGCGGGCAGGGCGGCGAGCGCGGCCCGGGGGGACCCTGCGGGGCGGGGGTGTCACCCCGGGGCTGCGCGTCCGCGCTGCCGCGGAGCTGCGGGCCGCCCGTCCCTTCCGCTGCATCGGTAAAGCGGCGTGGATGTTGGATATTCTCTTCTTGTTGTCGGCGCTCGGCGCGGGCCGCGCTCCCCCCGCACGGCCGGGGCTGCTGCCGAGAGCTGGAGGCGGCGGCGGCCCCGCCGGGAGGGAGTAAACCCCAACCCCCCTCCCCCCCAAAAAAAACCCCAAAAAAACCCCAACTTATCAGGTTTAATGGTGCCGCTCGGGGCGGGATCCGGGCACTCGGGTGGGACACACGGCCGTGTGTCCCAGGGCCCGGCCTGCCCCGGCCGTGCGGGGAAGGGAAGGGATGGCATGGGAAGGGATGGTACGATCTCCGTACCCGGCGGGGCTCGGACATTCCTTTGTGCCGCTGCCCTGCACTCACATGTCTGCAGGCACGTCCCCCCGCGATTTTGAGGCGATTCCCCCCCCCCTCTGGCTCAAGGATAGAGTTACCTCCGACTAGGTGCATGTTTTCCCACAATAGCCGCCTTCCATAGTGGTCATTGAATGGGAGCGGAGGTTGTTTTCTTCCTTCCCCTCGCCCCTCAAGCAGTAGGAAAGTTGATTCTAGTTTATGGCCCCCGAAGTGTAAGGACCAGTTGGGCTCAGTGAGCGAGTGAATGGGCTCATTGTGCCATTCCAGCTTTTCTAAGGGCAGTAACGTGGCTTTGTTCTGGTTATTTGGCTTATTAAATGTTTTCTGGCCTGCAAGAAGGCTGAATAGAAACGTGGTCTTGAGATTCTGGGTGCTCTTTCGGGAGGTCGCTTTAGGTCTTGTGGAGGATCCTCAGGGTTGGCCTTGAGTCAGGGATCTGAACTCCCGGGGTCGGGATCGGCAAGTTCATGTGTTTTCCCCTTTGGGGAAATGACATCTCCACCACAGGGTTCAGAAACCAGAAACTGGGCTTTGGAGCAGCACCTCACCTTTGGGGTTGCAGGGCTGAGAGGAGCTGGGTGGTTCAGAACCAAGAAGTCCCTGAGTTGTAATGTGCATACCCAGTCCTAGGCCTTGGGATCAGTTGAGCCAGCTGGTCAAATCCATTTTCTGGTTCGCTGTGCTTACATTAAAATTAGCTCCTGAGAACAGTTATTTTACAGCCTTTACTGTTGCACTGGCTCATGTTCATATGCCTGACTGATAGGAAATATTTTTGTCAAAACCGTTACTGGCAAGAACCAGTGAGTTTGTGTATCTTGTGGCAAGCTGAAACATCTCTGGATGTGTTCTAATTGTGAAGAGTCTGCTTGCTTCGAGTCTGGCTTATGAAACCCGGAGTGCAATGTTTGCTGAATAGCACAAACTTTCCTGATAAAGCATGTGACTTGATCTGGTTTTATTGGAGGTGCAGGGTATGTGTTCAAGCCCAAAGAGCTTGTATGCCTCTGAAAATGCCTGGAAGAGTTGCTCTCGGAGTCAGAAGGCTAAATCATACATTTCAAGTACACCTTAATAAGCTGGTGGAACTCCTAACTAGAAAATATGTTTACTGCTCATTCATTTTGAATTTCTGGGAAATACTGTTGATATTAATGTCTGCTATTTTTAATTATCCCTATTTTTTGCATCAGTAGCAAGATGTTATTCTTCATCACATGGAAGTACATGCTGCCTGTTAGACAGACTTAAAATACTGATCTTAAAATACTATCATCCCCCTAATGATATGATATGCTTTTGGGATGTTCCTGTGGTAATCTGGCAGTCCTCTAGTGGCCTTTACCTGCCAGTGCGTAGCCCATAGTTATTGTCTCTTTAACTGGAGAATTAAAGTTGATTCAGTAATTGTAAAAGGATATTTTAAATGTGGGAAAGTTGAATTTCCCTACTTCCTTTTGAAAAGCTATTTTTCTGCAGGGTACTATGATTCAGTAGAATGAGGAGGCTGAAAGGAGAATTATTTATATTTGCAACCATTGTGCTAAACTTTGGTAGTAGAGGTATAAAACTATATGGTGGACAGATAAACTGGAAGCCTGACTGTACTGAGAAGACTGCAATTTATTGCATGGATTGCTTTATTTAAAACAAAACCTTGAAGGATTTATTCTTTCCTTTAGGAATTCCTTGAGAGTCTGGTAGCCATTACTGTGGCTCCCTTTTTTAAGTTCCTTCTTTTCCCTTCTCTGTTCTTTCTCCCCCTTCCTCTGTTGCCTCCCCCCAATCTACATTCCTTTGTGTTAACAGTGATGATGGCAGTTCTAGTCACCTCCTGTGGTTTGATAGATTATTCCCTTTAGAAACATGGTGTACTTAAAACTTTCCAAACACAATTCTTTCCTCACTCCTCCACTTTTTGGTGCTGGCTTTGAGTTCTATTCTAAGAATTTGTCCTCTCTGGTTCTGCTTTGAGTATTCTTAAATGCTAGCAAGAAGTCTGGTTAAACCTTTAGTGGAAAATCTTAGTATTTATGTTATGATTTACATTTCTTTTTGTGTATGTTTATGGTCATAGTATAAACAGAAATGTTGCCTTTTGGCAACAATGAGTTTCTCTCTCCCCTGCAAGCTCACAGGTTTTGTGCTTTCTTTTCAGACAAAACTTTGTTTGCTTTAAACTTTCATTTTTATTTTTATGAAATAAACTTCTTGGACTATTTTTAGATTAGTACATTCTTGAGATCTGATTCGTTATGTAAGAATGATCTTGCAGGTAAATGTTCATAGGACTTTGTCTTTGGTCTTACACAATCTACATATAAACTTAAATTTTGAAATAGAGTACCTGCAACTTTTATTGTAGATATTGTAACCAACATAATCTTACTGGGGAGGGTGAAACTACTCACAGAAACCTGTGAAGGGCTTTATGAGCACTCTTGAAGAAGGGGTTAATGAGCAGAAGCAAGCCCTGTTCATTAATTCTAAGGAAGAAATTCATTGCTAGGAAAACAGGTACTTGAAATCAGGGCAGTATCTGATACTTTCTTGGTAGGTAAGTTTCAATCTCTTGACTCTCTACATCTGCAAGGGAGCTATTTATGTTGACAACGTATTTTTTTGTATATTATAAAGTTTGTGTCCTCAAGGTCTTAGCACTGAAATATTGCAGTCCAGTGATAGATACAGAGTCTGTATAAAAAAAAAAATCTTCACTTTGTTGGTTTCTCTGAACTGTAAACACTCTGTTAGGGGATGGAGACAGTCATATTTTCCGAAAAATGGTTTTCTTTAAGGATTTTCTTATCCCTCAAGAGGAGGTCTGTAAAAATAAAGGGGGGGGAAGTGGCATAATTTTAATTCCTTTCTAGGCTGCTCTACAAATTTTTCTGTGATCCAACTGGATATTGTGGTACTGTTGAGTATAGAAAAATCAAGGTAACTGTCAGCTCTTTAATATAGCCATTTCTACATTTTGTGCTGTTGTGGCTTTTTTGTTTGGTCAGTTTGGGGAATAGTGTCATCAACAAGCTGGCAAGAAGCTGCTCAGCTAACTGCTAATGCTTTGCAGTAGGCGTAAATAACTTCTGAAGGCCATGTTTCTGCTAATTTTTAGGTTGAGGGGAGGAAGTAGGCAGGGTTGTTACTAAATACATTATCTGGGTTATGGCTCTCAGTTTACTGACAGCACTATATTTTTTTTAAGCAAGCAGTTGAATATTGTGCTTTAGATAATATAAACTGTTTCAATTAGGAAATTTACTGAGTTATAAAACCAAAACTAATATAATTTGCTTTCCACTATCTGAACTTGATTGTATTTTAGTGAAATTCTTGCTGTCACATTTTGCTTGTTGGATATTAACAGTAAGATCAAGGCTTCTGATTACCTAATGTTAGCATTGCTGCTCTAAATTTGATATGACAACATTGTTTTAAGTTCCTGTGAAAATTAAGCTGTAGGAAAATGTTGGGAAAAATTCTGTCAATAATATATCAAATATATCAAAGTGCAGGCCCAGAGCTTTGGACATCCAGGGCCAGTGATGGAAGCTGCTCTTCAATGTGTGTGTGTCTGTCTGTACAGATAGAGATAAGAGTGTGAAATCAAACAGTATTTTTGCTTAGGGCTGTCGTATTACAAATGTCATTTGCAAAACTGACTCAGTATACCAAGACCTACATGTCATTGTGGGGAAGGCATCTGAGATGGAAAAAAGCTGTTCCTGCATTTGCTGAGCTTTAAAATTGGAACCCAGCTGGTACAGGAAATAGTTGAAGAAATAGCTGCAGCACCACTGTCTATACCTTTACTTCTGTGCTTTAGCCTCAGCTCTGTGATGCTGGAAGATAGGATCTGAATTCCTTTTTTTTCTGAAGAATACTTGTTTTTCCTTACCATTCCCCTCATCCAGCTAGCCTTGACAGCTGTCTTACTTTTTTTTTTTTTATTCACTTTTCTTGGGTTATGAAAGATCACATTTTTAATTTGTCGATTTCTACATTAAAGTTAAGGGGGGTTAATGTTAAAAATGAAGGAAAACCTTTACTGTCCTCATAAGACCTCATACAGCAGGGCTGAGGCTTCTCTTCTACTGTCGCCTCCCCTTGAGCCATGAATGGGAATAATAGGAACTTCTGTTGGTGTTATATTAACTTTAGGTCCCTAATTTGCATCTCAAATAACATTGTGAACAGCATTAATGCCTTCGAGGGCTTTGGGAGGTTTTTTAATTTGTAGGGTAAATGTATTTTTTAACCTAATTGGGCAGTTCATATTATTATTGCAGCATGTTTAATTTTTGCTCTGTGCAGCTCTTGTTAATGTCAGTGGCCCTAAATCATTCCTTCAGTGCTGTGCACATATGTTATGTTTCACCTTCTTAATTGTGGCTTTAGATTTTTGTCTTAGT